TGTGCTTACATACGTACATGTGCATCCGAAACACCCACAAGCTCCCGGCCTCTGCTTGCACTGTCACAACTGTGTCTATCACAATACGCTCTGTGAGGCTGGGAGAGTGTAGCCATGGCAGAGCTAAGATCGCTGAGGCCCTGAAAGTTGAGTGAATCGACCAGGTCTCCGCTGATGGCAGAGCTGGGCCTCAGACTCCCAGGCCCTTCTCCACTAGATGGCACTGCCTCTCAAGGGGCCCCGTGCTCCCACCCATTCCATTCCAGCCCACAGGCCCCTGGGCAGAGGGAAGAGAGGTGGCCCAGGGGCAGAGCTCCTGTTAGAACCAGAGGGCGGGGGGAGGCGCCTCAGGCTCTGGGGTCCTCACCTCGGGGTTGTTGAACACCTCCCAGAGGTCGTTGTGGAGGTGGGTGGTCTTGTAGCTGTCCAAGGAGAGCAGGTGGCCAAAGGTATGCCGGTTAGTCAGGAACATGAAGGTGTCCTGGGAAAAGGAGGCAGATGGGAGAGGCCCCTCCTTCCTACCCCCTTCCAGACTCAATCACAGCTTGGGACAGAGTACCCCTGCGACCCCAACACCCAGCCCAGGCCAGACACTGGGGGTGCCATCAGGGGAGGCTTCCTGGAGGAGGAGATGTGAAGGAAAAGTATGACACTTTGATACTGAAGTCTTAGAGGGGATAGTCTTGTCATGCTGTTACTTGCGGGGGGTGGGGGGGTGGACAATCACCAAAAAAACATGGCACAGGGCTGAGGCCGGGACAAGGGGCGCTGCCTACGTGATGTTCAGTGGGAGGAACCGCCAGCTTGTTATTAGCTGCAGCTAGTTGGCTAGAGGCAGGCGGCAGCCCCAGGCACGAGTGGGCCAGACCACTGTGAGCCGCGTGGTTTCCTGCGCTGCTTCTCAGGGGCAGGCCTTCAGCCCCTTCTTGCTGGTTTGCCTTAGTCTGGAAGCTCTGCCGAGAACGGCTCGGCATCACTGCCACACACGATCCTCCACTGGGCGGGAAGATGAGACTCTTACCACTGAGCCACCACCGCCCTCTCCTTGGTCTCCACGCTCTGTTGAGAATGTATATTAAACAGGGTGGAAACTGCTAAAATGGCCCTGCAGCTCACTGGAGGGGGCGAGGGGGGCTGCCCATTTGCCTGGTGACCCCTGGGTGCACCCACTAAAGCCTGGGGGGGTCTCTGAACAGCCTCCCAGCATCTTAGCAGCTCTCTGGCCCCCTGGAGACAGAACTGAAAGGCTGCCTTCTCCACAGGGGTCCTGCGACCCTCAGTCCCCGGCTGACCTGCTGCCGGATGTTGGCACAGAAGGACATGTCAGGGTCCAGCTTGCTGTGGTGGAACAGGTCTTTCTGCTGCAGCTCACCCCGCAGGGCACTGCCTTTGATTAAGTAGACGCTGGAGATGTAGGGCACATTCCAGACGCCACTAGGAGAAAGCGGCAAAGGGAGCCACTGGTCAGACAAGGTCAGGGACAAGGGAGACCACAAGCGGGAAGAGCAGGACAGTGCTGACTTGGTTCCCCCACCCTGGGTCCAGGAACCTACAATAACTATCAGGCAGTCCTTCTGAATCTCTGACTGCAGTCTTCCGTACTTTGTGGTATACGGGAATTTAAGAGCAATTAAAAACACAAACATGGCCACTGAATTAATACTGACTTATAACAACCTTCTACAGCAGTGGTTCTCAATCTGTGGGTCACGACCCCT